ATAATTTCTTCGATCACTTCTACAATTAATTCTTTTGGTTCATTTGAATCTTTTAATAATATTTGTTTTTTTCTTTCGATCTCTTTTTTAATATTTTTAACTATGTTTCTTGATTGACATACTAAAATTTTCATTCTTCTTGCCTGATCATATGAATTTTCTGAATAATTTTTGTTAGTTACGATCACACCTGTATCCTCAGGATGATATGCTTTTATAAACCCATTCACTCGTTCAATATCATTAAACCCTATATTTTTTATACTTCTAAATTTACAACATATAAATATCTTGAAATCTTCATAATCAGCAATTAAATATTTATCACGATCTGAATAGAATAATTCATCTTCATTCTCATAACTTCGACAAGAAAACCCTTCATTATTAAGTAACTTCATAATATTTTCTTTATATTCTTGACATAACTCTGCAATTTTTTTCTCCTAAAAAAAAATAAAAAAATAAGTACATCATGAAATCATAGTGCCTTTAAGCGGGAACGGTAAGTCCTTGCACCATTTCTTAAATTCTTAAATTTACATAAGGCGATTATATTAGTGGAAACCCAGACCTAATATCTCACTCAACTCACAGCGTAACTTATATTCAAAAATACACATATTCAAGCAATACTTAGTAAGAAATATATTCATACCTCATTATTTTTTTTGACTTTATATTTTTTAACACTCGAAAAATTGCTCATATTTAAAAAAGTTTTTTTATAAAAATTTTTTTTTTTTGCTTACAAAAAAACTGTTTACACAGAAAAAATTTTAGCGTGACATGAAGATACAAAAAAATATAATTGGGTATAAATAAATAAAAATCTAATCTAAAAATAGAATAAAGAACCGATGATCTAATTCGAACAAAGAATATCAATTTATAGTATAAGTACATTGATATTTATATGTTTTGCAGCATAGTAAAATCCTATATTTAAACAGATTTTCTAAAAATATAATAAACCAGAATGAATTATTTAAATCAATTGATCGTAAAATTTGTTTATCATTTAAATAATTAACGAGAAAAATATTAAACAGATATATAATTA